CGCAACAATATTAAATTAACTAACACGCGACACTCATATGATATAATAACCATTTTGACATAACGCTTGAAAACAAATTGTACCAGTACTACACTACTAAATATGCCAAAAAGTGTCACAAAATCTACAGGAAATTAATTATGGGAATGTGTACAAAACTGGTTACAAATTGGAAACACAAAACACCATTTCAAGAACACAATTAGAGAAAGAGTTAGCCATAACCTACAATGTAGTTAGAACCATTGCAGCTCTTTTGTGTTATAATACAGCATACTTTTGTAATTTTGCTGGCAGGTTGTTGAAAGATTAGCATTCTTATATTATTAGTAAGCAGTATAAAACACGTAATTAATGGACACAAAATTACAAAAACATGCTATTGTATAATATCAGGTGACTGTAATGGTTCCAACTGCTTCTGTATTGCCTTATAAATTATACCACAACTCCCTTTTTACTTGTATAATTTGTCTTCAAATGTCGCCATTTTGTTTGTCATAAAACAATTATGGTGTTATGTGTTTCCAAGATACAACTAACTTCGTACATGTCATTTTAAGTAGATTTTGTGAATTTCTTTTCCACACGTTCAGTAGAGGCACACACGGCCCGTGCCCTGATTCTATTTGACAGTGCCTCCGCCGTTGGTGTCTTTAAAAATCAAAATATTAAATTACGATCAATATCACACTGAAACGCCGAAACTTCCTGCTCTTAAGGGCCCAAGTACCTAGCCACGCCTCTGATGTTTAGTATTGCTGTGCTGGTTTGTTTTTCGAATTTCGCACAAAACTACGCAAGGACTACTGCGCTAGTCGTCACTAATATAGAAGTGACAGACTACAGGGAAGGAAGGTAGACCACATCTGACCACCACTTTATAACTTCCCTAGGGCTATAAGGGCGAGCATGTTCAGTGACGGGATTCGAAACCTGCAACTTTTAAGTTGCGAGTCGAACGTTCTAACCACAAAACATTTCAGAATTCAACGATACTAAGTTTGAACTACCATAAAAGCCGATTTGTTCAATGCTAGAACGTTTTGTTGACTTTGTGAGCATTTCATTAGGATTAGAATTCACACAAGATAAATGTAGTAAAATAAAACAAAACCAGAATAAAAAATATAGCCTTAGAGTAGAAACAAATTTATTTTATCAACTGCTCATAGTCAGGTTTAATATCAAGTCTGAGGATGAGTAGTTGCTTTTTTGTTGAATTTGGGTAAGTGGTGTAGTATGTTTGTGAGGGTGGTGCTAATAAACCAAGTGACGTGCCACATTAGTTGCACGTAGGCTATATAGAGGTATATCAGTGCTCTTCAGAGCCATTCAGTGTAGAGTGGCACGGCACGCAGATTCTGTACTATGAAAACTTACTTGTATCATTGTGCTGTATTTGTTATATTTTCGATGTGAATATCGTGCCAGCTTAATATTGAATATCTGTCCAACTTCACACTGGTTGTGTTTTATTGAATTTATTTTAATGATTTCTTTCTTTCGTGAGAATGTTGAAGGAAATTGTCTTTGTATAAATCCGAATAAGGAGCATGGGGTCAGCCATACTAGTAAAACTAGTTCAAAGATGAATTATTTATTTATGTGTTAAATGATGTTATTCTTCATATATATTTGGAGATTGTATACATACTGACTTAATTTTTGTATTTTTTTCAGCCTGTAATAAAATGAGCTGGTGATGCAGCCTCCTTCGTCACTTTGAGTCAAAACAATTTTTGTATTAACGACAATAAAACATACCTCTTATTTTTTCTTAAACTTGAAAAACGCAGCATATTTAATGATGCTGATGTAACTGTAAACAGTTTATGTCCACTTTCAAAGATATCACAACTGTATAACTGGATCCTGAACGAACACTACTTGTAGATATACATATAAACACGTGCACTTGTAACTTGAGATAAGTAACAAGCCCTTATGAGTATATTGCAAAACTGGGAAACAACTTATGTATATGTCAATAAATATGCAGTAATTAATAAACATAAGCTCATAGTATATTTTATATAAAAAATACACATCCAGTAATTATTTATCTTGTATTTTCATTTGGACATATGGAGTTAATGGTACCAAACCACAACTTACCTATTAATATGGCTCCTTAAACTAGCCCTCAAGTTTCAGATTACTGGATTACTAGTAACACTGTGAAGCTTCTCTTAACATAGTTTCAACTGGTGTACCGCGAGAACAAGATTTCCAAGGACATCTCTGGGAAACGCGATATGTTTTGAAATCGACCACTACATTCGGGTTATCTGGTACCACGTGCTGTAGTTAAACACTTACTAGTGCTTTTTTTTTCTTTTAAAGAAATCTACAGTCAACGATTGCATTTTTGTTCAGTGCTATACACGTGTTTATACGCATTGTTTCGAGTAATTACAAATTATAAATCTCAAGTAATACTAAAACAACATAAAATGACATAAAAGAGTCAAATAAATTTGTTAAAGGTAGTATTAATTTTGCGATATCGTGATAAGACTAGCTCAGTTTGTTATCTACACGTTCTGCTCTTCACATGACTTATTTAAGTTATATCTGTATATAAATAATAAGTGTGGATCCTGTCTTTCAGACCATAATAATGCTTATGTAAGTATTTGTAACAACTGTTAGAAAACCTTTCAGTAAATCATTTCTATAATGTAGGTGTGTATTGCGCACGTGTATATATTTTTATACACACACATAGTATATACATGTTTGTGGGAGAGTGTATATATACTATTCTCACGACCGGTTCCAACCGGTTTGGTTTTGTATACGTAGACGACTACACTTTCCAGTAGTATAGATTATAAAATACAGCGGCTTACTAAGTCTTTCGTTACATTGCGCCTGCGCCAATCCATGGCGTATTTTCATATCGAATTTTAATTATTCATCAAATAAACAATCACGAGTATTTTTTCATTACATCATTTATAACTTTGTTCACAATATAAAAAGTGAATTAATGTCAACTCGCAATCAAAGCAAACTCTGTACTTCAGAATAGTTAGTTGAACATACTCTTTTTTTTACATTCCTATTAATAAAGATTAAAATGCAGCGTTTCATCAGTTGGCTAACCTCATTGTTAACGGTATTTTTGGCCGATATTTATGCTAAATTGGCTTGTTAAGTCTCTAATGGCTTGTTTGACGTTAAAGTAAACGCCGGGTTTGTTTGACTTAGATAATAGCATAGTCAGAATGGAAGATTTCGTTTAGTTTTTTTTATGTGGGAATTACTTTAGCGCAGTGTTCCTCAAACTTTTTCGTCCACAGAACACTTTGGTGGGGCAAAAGAACCCTTGGACCACCTACCCTACCCGCTTTCGTTTTCCATCGTAAAAAAAAAAAAAAATCATTAGTGACTTCCAATTTGGACCAGTCTGCGGACCACCAATGGTCGCTGACTACACTTTGAGAACCATTGTTTTAGCGAACCTATCAGACATTTTTCGAGATAGAAAATTAAGAAATGTATATCAGAGGAAATATATAATATTTCACCATGTATCTTTGGCAAAGCTATTAAAAGTATCTACCGCCTTTCCGAATTTTGTACCACTGAACAGTGGAAAGACAACCAGTCAGCAGCACCAATCAGCCACCATCCATGTAAAGAGATTGATTGTCAACTCTTTTTAATGTACCTACAACTTAAAGTGTGAGGAATATTTTTTAGTATCGCAAGGATTTAAACTCAGCTCGCCATCTCCAAAATCCAGAACTCAACCAGAGAACCAATACGCACCCAGAATTAAAGGATTACAAATTTGGTTTTGTGTGTGAGTGTGTGTGTGGCTAAAATATAATGTAATAGTTTACGTGGAACTTTCTTACTCGACGGGAATTTTGTATGGTGCCTACGTCAACAAAAAGAGCGGAAACCGACTTGAATCTATATTGTATAATAATCAGTTCACAATGCAAAATTGAAAGTGATTGAATGAACATTTTTTAGCCATAAAAACATTTTCTCTTTGTATAGATGGCTAAAAAACATAAAAAGGGCAATGATGTAAGTAACGTAAAAATACAAAAATATATTTATTGTCAGGCAGTTTAATATTCAAAACAGTCTGATGCTCCGCAAAATTGTACAACTTTGAGTCATTTTTAAACAAACTACCGGTTGTAGCCACAAGCTTTACTGAAATTGAAATGTGAAAAAACAAAAACTAATGAATCTGTGTAACCTAAAATACATAAATTGAATCCATCTTGTTCTAATAATAACCATAATAATCCTTAAAGACATGGTACCGTCCTCGATAAATTTACCTATCATCCCCTTGTTTATGGGTGTTATTACTAACAGTGCACTTTGCAAATACTACAGTATGTTCACATCTAAATAGTTAATAAGTTTTCTAAATTTTAACTTTGAAACACCTTATGTCCGGTTGAGGTTATGTGCAAAATTCCAGCGAGATGTTTTATTTTTGTAATATTCTGTTATTTTCACCTGCCATAGTGGCACAGCGGCATATCTGCGGACTTACAACGTTAAAAACCGAGTTTCGATATCCGTGTTGGACAGAGAACAGATAACCCATTGTGTAGCTTTGTGCTTAACTACAAATAAACAAACAAACATATCTTTTCACCTTGCGACTGTCAGAAGTACTTCCGCATTTCGATACCCTCTTCTGATTGGTCAACTTAAAGAGAATATGCATTATGAATACAGTTTGGCACTTTCAAGACAGGTTAAGCTCTGATCCTGAGAGAGCCGAAATTCGCCGTGGAAAGTTTGTACAGGTTCTCTATATTCCTCAGATCTGATTTTCCTTTCATACAGTTTACCATAAAAATATATGATCATATATTTACATTACCATATCTTTCAATAATCTTCCCACAAGACGATCAGTTTATTCTGTATTTATTTTATTTATTTTTTACTTTGACGTAACGTCATGTCTTTCCTCTTATTTTGCTGTGGTATTCTCTAGTTAAGTTGATTTCTGCAAAAAGTATTAGGTACAGTCCCTTTATAATAGGAGGATTGGCAAGATAAATCACGATTTGATACTAAATTGAACAAAACTAGCTGAGTTTTAACCTAAAAAACAAGAAACTGAACAGAAATGTAACAAAATTAGAACAATAATTATCAAAGACACAAAACACCTTTTATATGTTACATTGGACACTGGATTGTCGCTTTTCACAGGACTAGTGAATTGATCAATAGATTTTCTTCCTTCAGGATGTCTTTCCATCAGTCTGTGTAGGCTGTTTACATCTAATATTTCTTACTTAAGAGAATCTAGGATCTGGTCTAAAGAAATGTAACTCACGTGATAGTTTTGAGATGTGTTTACGTCAAATTACGCTATCTTATTGTACACTAATCTTTTTTTTTAAAAAACACAAAAAACTTACATTTCAACTAAATAATCAGTGTATGCAACGTTCCCTCTAAGCTACATAACAACCAGTTAAGTGCCGCGCACTTAATTATTTCACCCGCACACATCCTCATTTATGGTGAGGAGTTTCAACACGTTGACGGTCTTTATGACCATGGTAGTCGATAGGCCTAAAGCACAAATAACTAACTGGTAGCACTGCAAAGCGACCTAATAATCCAATAGGGTCGATGGTCTAAAAATACCACTACCACTCTCTTAAAAAAACTGGCAGCGCACATCCGCACATCGCCTTGATACTGATGCACATGAAAAAATTCATTCCGCACATGGACTGAAAAAAATTAAAGGGAACGTTGAGCCTATTATCATAGATAGGTAAAACAAAAGAAGAATTTTTGAAATAAACTAGACTGTTTTGTTAAAAATATTCCTTGCTCATCTAATTGTGTTGGTGTGTCACATCAGGATATGTACTGTGTCCAGCGAGGGGAATCGAACCCCTGATTTCAATATTGTAAATCCTAAAACCTACCGTTGTCCCACCGGTGGACCATTTAATTTTGCTTGGTTGAAATATCGTTTAATGAACATTTCTGGTGTATAAAAAAATTCCATTTATATGAAATGTTTACTTCAAATGACAGTTTTAGTAACCAAGAACTAAATGATAACAATTATTATACTGTATTCCACCATCATTTGTCATGTAATGAAGTTTGTCAGAGTATAATTACTTAACATTACACAATATTGTTGCGTCAGCGAGGTCATGTGACTAGTGTAACGCCACTTCTCTCGAACCTTCGGGAATTTCGGGAGATTACTAGATATAGGGTAGTCCTTTCTGGATATAACTTTACCGATACACTTATTTTCAACAGTCGCTCTATAACAAATGTTTTAACAACAAACGTTAACTTCAACAATACTTTCTGACTGCAGTTCAATTACTCACTACCTACACACATTATTCCGTCACGTTGTCACTCTCTTATATATATACCAAAAGAATAAACCAGTTTTATTAAGAAAGGACTTTTGTCGCTTAAGTTTTGTGGGAACGAAGTTACGGAAAATCAACTAACGAACGGAGACGTAACATCGTTTTGACTAAATGTGGCATTCAACTATTTATGACCACAGATTATGTGATCATTTCAAAGTAAATGACGCTCCAAATTTCACATTGTATCATTCATTCCTTTATAAAAGATTGCATTTTAAGTAGTTTACTTTTAAATTCTGTAACTTTACAACAATTCTTGATCATATAATTAAATGTCGAGGCCA